CATACACACACACACATACACACACACACACACACACACACACACACACACACACACACACACACACCTTTTGCCCTCTTACCCTTCCCAGCCATGAGGATACCGTGGAATGGTGCTCTCTATGAACCAGGAAGCTCTCACTAGACCCAAGTCTGCTGGGGCCTCCGTCGAGGCTCTCAGCTTCCAGCGCAATGGAGAGTATGTGGCAGGTGTTCATACAACACTTGCTCTGTGGACTTTCCGCTCCAGCAGCCCAAATGGACTAAGGTCATCTGCTTCGTGTTGGTCTCTTCGATTTCATATTTGTTCCTGTAAGTCTGCGGCCTATGAGAACCATAAAAGGACAATGTATATGGATGGCTGCACACTGTCTGGAAAGCCACACCAGTCCCTCAAGAGCACATTTCCAGGAGGGGACTTGGGCATTCATTGTGTTTCCTGATGTGAGAAAAGTCTATGGTTGATGATCCCTCTGTGGATAAGCTTTCTCTCCTGCTGGGTGGGCACCGCACTGAGACCCTCTCCTGGACTGTGCTATGGTTAGGATGTGAAATGTCCCTCAACAGGCCCAAAGGTTAGAACAGTTGGTCCCAGCAGGTGGCTGTTTTAGAAGGTTGTGGAACCTTTAGGCTGGAAGAAGTGGACTCTGGGCTCTCTGCACCTGCTTTTTCACTCACCCAAATGCAAGCAAACTCCTGTTGCCTTTCCCACCATGACAGACTAGATGCCTTCCAACCATGGCCCATAAGAACACACAGAAACATTCAATACCAGTAGCCATCAGAGAAAGGCAAATCAAAAACTACGTTGAGATTCCATCTCACTCCGGTTAGAATGACAGCAAACAGGAAAGCAAGGGATGATGCAGAAAGAATGTAAACAAGAAGACTCTTTATACACCGTTGCTGCGAATGCACTCATGCAGCCACCACAGAAATGAGCAGAGTGTCCTCAGCAAGCTAAAACTAGACCTACTATGCGACCCAGCTATCTCACTCCTTGGTGTTGACCCAAAGGACTCCAAGTCAACACACCCCAGAGACACCCCCACACCAGTATTTGTTAAGTCACTGTTTGTGAGAGCAAAGTTCACAGAACCAACCTGGGTGTCCCCCAGCAGAGGAACTGCTAGAGAAAATGTAGTATATGTGCACAATAGAGTTTGATTCGGCCAGAACGATGAGAGACGTTGGAGCTGGAGGGATGGCTCAGTCAGGAAACTGCTTGCTGTGCCAGCATGAGGGCCTGAGTTCAGATCCCCAGCACCCAAATGAGAAGCAGTGGCATGACTCTGTAATGCCAGTCCTAGAGAGGCAGAGACAAGAGGGTCTTGGGGGCTTGCTGGTCAGCCAGCCCAGCTAACCGGCAAGTTCCAGGTTCAAACCTTCTGCCTCAAAAAAATAAAGGAAGAAGCCACTGAAGGAGTGTCCTAGCATTAACCTCTGGCTCCACATGTCACATGTGTGAGCATACATATGTCCATACGCCCACACGTAGGCATGCACATACGCAAGTACAGACATATAGAGCCAAGAGTAAAGATGTTGTGTCTTACATACGAACATGGATGCAACTGGAAATAATCATATTAAGCAAATTAAGTCAGTCTCAGAAAACCAAATGCCACCTTTCTCTTGCTTTGGGTTCTAGTCTTTATAGACACATAAAATCAAATACATACAGATGACATGAAAGTAGAATCAAGACTCTCTGGGGGAACAAAGGAGGTTAATAGAGTGAGAAAGGGGACAGAGGGCAGGACAGGAATTGCTCAAAGTACATTTTATACTTCCATGAAACTGGCCTCATATAATCCAGTATAATAAAATTAAAAGACCTTTAAAAAAAAAAAGTGAATCATTGGCTTTGGAGACAAAAGTCCAGAGCAGCTTTTCTCTCCCGAATAGTTCTTAAGCCCTCGAAACCTGCTAACGCTTGTCTTTCTCAGAACTACAAAAATATAAAACGCTGTGTGCTTCAATCCTGAATTGTGAGTTTGTTTTGAGCTTAATCTGTTTTGGGCACACTCGTGTGGTTTCACAAAAGACGGTAGGATCCACTCCTGCATCTCCTGCCAAGCATGGCTGAGAACAGGCAGCCCAAGGTCTGGGGTGGGGTGATCATCTGCTTGCTGATCCCTCCCAGGGCAGAGGGACAGTCAGTGTTCTCTGAGATGTCTACCTGGTAGTCACTGCTTCCACACCAGGATTCCCACGGAGTCCTTTCCTGGGTGGGCTTTCCATAACTCTGTCTTTAACCCTAACTTTAGTTTATATCCAGTCCAAGCCTCCCCGTTGCCATACAAATTCAGAAGAAAGGTGGGACAAAGAGATGGAGGGAGGGATGAAGGAAAGAAAAGCTGTTTCTGAACCTTCCATAACGATGAGTCCTGGATAGACAGAGCCCAGCCTGCTGGGTAAACTCAGGTAAACTCATATCAATCAATGGTTACACACATACACTGATGAGCCAAGAGAATTGCCAGAAATAACATATTTATATACACAAATACATATGCATGCATAATACATGCATATACAAATACAAGAGGAAGTCTTGACCTGGTCTAGGAGAAGGTTTCCCTGGAACCATATCAATCACCCTAACAGGAGGGACTGGAGCAGGTGGACTTGGGCTGAGAGACAGGTTTGCAGCAGGAGGAGGACTGTTACCTAGCAACTGAGACAAGAAGAGCCTAGAAGAAGCCAGGGAGGTGACTCAGAGACAGGTGGGCCATTCTTGGGAGCTACAGAAAACCACAGGGAGGTCTGAGCTGAGTGATGTCATCAGTTTGACGTGGTCCCACCTCTGGTGGTCCAGCATTTGAGACTAGTGCTATATCCCGCCTTCATCAGGGAAGCCCTGAGTGGGACGTCTATATAATAACTTCCTCCAGGACCCTGGGAACATCAAGAAAGAGGGGACAGAAATAATATAACAGCCAGAGAACAGGAGTCAAAAGATGTCTTCTGGGTGTAACATGGCCAACACACCCATGGCCTCACTGCGGCTACCGTTATCTGCAAGGAGTGGACCTGTCCATCGTGAGTGGGGGAGGGTCCACCCATGGGGCCCCACTTCTCCCAGAGAGACTATTGGCGAGTAACAGTGGTTGGGGGAGGAGGTGCCATTTTCTTCAATGAGTTATCCTTGCTCCCAAACACACCCTCCAACCCACCCCCAGCCAAGAAACTAATTAAACTCAGTGGGCTGCACACAGAAGGAAGACAGGAAAATAGGTGGGGGACTTGTTGAAAAGGAAGATCCCAGCAGGAGAGACAGGGGAACGAGGAGAGTGAGTAACCAAACTTCATTATCCAAATGTGTGGAAACGGTTGAGCAATTTAAAAATTAAAAAGAAGAAATGAAGGGGACTTCCCCCTCAAGGAAATCATGAGGAGCCGATAACGGGTTCCACGGCAGTGGTCGTGGTGGAAAAAAAGAAAACGGAGAACAGCATCAGGAAGAGAGAACCATGCAGGGTGGACTGTTCACTCTGACTTATCTCGTTCACTGAGACCGAGTTATTTCACCATGCTCCATCTGAAAGGCCCCCAAGACACCGAGTAGAACTTAAGTATCTTCCCACCAACCTCCAAAAACACAGGTAAGTCTTCCCTCTGGCTTGAAAGAGCAGACCAGGGAAAATGTGTTTTTCCCATGCTTCTCCTTTGAGCTAAAAGCCAAGTTTTCTCTGCCTTTGTAAGACCTTTATGAGATTTCTACAGACAAGACTATCACCTGCTGCAAGACCTGGCTTGCTGCAGAGACACCCTGGCCGATGTGGCAGAGATGCAAAAGGCCCCCCTATTCACCCACCCGTCTCATCGCTCCATAGGGCTGTGCTACTCTCTTCTGGTCATTATCTCACACTCTTCAATTTTGCTCTTGGGGGCTTTTATGGCTATCCATTTCCTCATTGTATAGATGGTTTATAGGGACAAGACCTTTCTTTTGAAACCTCTAATACCTCAGGAGATTCAGGGAAATGCTCTACCTCAGGCTATTGGTAGAGCTCACTTGAGCAAGTTGAAGGGATGTTGGAAAAGTTGGCAAAGAGGCGAAGGCAGTCTTGTATAAGGCGAGACCATGTTGCAGGTGACTTTCATGTGTCAGCAGATGGAGGTGTTCAGATACCAGCTTGGTCATGGACTCATCCTGCAAGCTTTGTACACCCACCAGGAAGGAACAAGGAACCAAAGGAAGCCTCCTGGCCTATCTGCCTGGGTGCTGACTTGGCCCATGAGTCTTTCTCCAAACCAGACACAAGTCACTGTCTTCGTCTCTGTATGATCTAACACAACCCTGCAGACTGGGAATGTTATACATAATGGAAATGAATCTCTCACAGTTCCCCAAATATCAAAGATCAAGACGCTAACAGATCAGGAGCCGGGTTGGTGAGACTTCTTTGTGTGTCACTGTCTTCTCATCCTGACCTTCTGTTGAGGGAAGGGAGGGATCTCTATGACGTCACACTTCTGAAAGTACTGCCAGGCACAAGGACTCTGCCCAAGGATGTAGACACATCCTAAAAAGCTTTTCTTTCTATGCTAACACCCCAGATGAGGACTGCAATCTCTGGATTTAGAGAGGGACACAAACTTTTGGACCATAACAGCCTCATCTGTGCCCAACTAGAAAGCTTAAGGAAACATTTCTTCCTCCTCACCAGTCCTCCAGGGCTGGTTTGCTGTCTGCCCCCACAGCCAGAGCAGGAGGATGAGAGACATGTCAACTGCCGAGAGAGGCATTCTGGGGGAGTCAGCAGGCACATGGAAGAGGACAGGAAGAGTCTTGTCGAAAGTAGGTGGTGAATCCAAGATGAAGCATGCCTTCTTTCCACTCCCAACAGGTCTGAGATACTCCAGGGTGGGGTCCTCCTCCTTAAATAACCCCTAGCTACAAATCCTTCTCTGCTGTCAGGGTGGGAAGGCTCTGGTCTCACACATAGTGGGATTAGCTGGAGCACCCTCAGCCTTCAGATCATTATGGGTTGTTTGGCAGTGACCCCCACTTCAATGAAATGACAAGGACTATCTTCAGTCTGTCTCCTTTACCTGGACCTCAGAGCCTGGTGCTGTGGGGCCCCTTCTATAACCTAGATCGTTCCTGAACCGAAACCCTGAGCACATGGGGGAATTCCTTTGTGTTCGGTTTTCTCAACTTTTCTACCAAGTGGAAGTTTCTCTGGCTGCCGCAGGGCTGCCAGGGAAGATAATAGGAGGCTATAAAATTCCTTCTAAGTATAAAAGCATGTTGTAGTACATAATAATTTCGATGGTCATTAGGGTTTTTTTTTCAGAGTTGCTTGGGAAGTGGTGGTTTACCCAAATTTCGGAGCTTGGGATAATTAAAGAATAATTAAGCTGTCTTGCCCCGGGCACCTGGGCATCAGTGTTAGACACACACGGAGCAAGGTTAAGCTGAAATGCTGGTTTACTCTGGAAAATGACAGGCTTGTTTTGCAAGGTGTAATAATGTCGTTGCTGCAGACTTTGGGAGCTGAACTCTGCAGTGATGGAATGGCTGTTCCCATCGCTCGTCAGCCCCATGGCTTTTCTTTCATGCTGGAGAGCTGTTAAAATCAAATTCTGTAATGGCCCAGGAATGTTTAATTCTTTACATATGGGCATTGTTATCTTTACACTCTTGATTATTTTCTTAATCTACTTTCCAGCTTACTTATTTTATCAGCTGAAAAGCTGGAAAATATCCTTATGCCTGAATACTTGGCTGTTTATTATTTTACTTATTTTTTCAGCCAAACCCTATGATAACATTCTAATTTGATAATGTTCCATTAAACACATTAATAGACGATCGGAAAATACAACAATTAAGGAATGTTTTAGTAGAATGCATCCTCTGGCATAAAAGCACTTTTGTTTAGCTTTTCAGGCATGCGGTACATCTGTGACAAATGATTTATATTCATAAGCTTCGGGGCTATCAGACGTGCACAGTTGGGGAAGCATAAACTGGAAGAGATGTCCCAGGAACGGTGTTCAAAGGCAGCGTCATTAAAACCAAAACTCACGTGGGCTTCCATGGTGGCACTTGCTGTCACCTCAAACACTCGGAGGCTGAGGTAAGAGGGTAAGAGTATCTCAAGCCTGGCCTGAACTACATAACATGACCTTGTATTGAAATAAAACCAAAACATGCACACGAACAAGAACAAAACAATAACAAAAATCCTCCTATGCCCTGAGTCCAACACGTCTTGTTGTAACAACCAATCACTTAGTTTACCTTCATTTTTTTCTAAGAATGGATAAATAGAGGAAATCACATCAGTTTGCCACAGTGGCATCACTATGATCAACTGTGCCCAGAGAAAGGTGCCTATAGATGGTTTTGAAAGTAAGTCAGAATGTCAGCTCTAAGCATATTTCACCCACAATAAAACAAACTTACCTGCCATCTCGTGTCTAATTAAACTGAGTGTTACTATGTATGCATATTTTATTTTGTTCTTAATTTTCGTTACATTTATTTATTGTATAAAAGGTGAGTTTTCTCTCTCACACACATACACACATATTCTCTCTCTCTCTCTCTCTCTCTCTCTCTCTCTCTCTCTCTCACACACACACACACACACACACACATACACACCGTGGCACACATGTGGAGGTCAGAGGAACTTGGAGTTGGTCCTCTCCTTCCTCCATGTGGGTAGCTGGTTGTCTGGTTTGACAGCCAGCACCTACCCACTGAGAAATCTTGCCAGCCCTTAAGGTAAGGAACTTCTCCATCGTTAGGATTTAGGCTACTACTTTTGTATGGTAAACACTGCAATCAGGAAGATGATCACACTAGCCCACCCTGAACAAAATTCTTATATTCTGACTTCCCTAAAGTCAATGTCTATTTTGTAAATTTCTATTGCCCCCATGTTCTTTTTGAGTAATGAAACTATTCCAAGATTCAAATTTTAACTTTAATTTTTATTAAGTAGCTATAGAGGTGACCGATATCTATGCTGGTATCTAAAAAAAAAAAAAAAAAAAAAAACCTGAGTAGAAACCCCCAAATTGGTAAGACTAAGTAATATTATGTCTGAAATTCCCTCCCTGGGAGAGATGTGAGTACCATGTAACCCTCTTCCTAAGGTCCTAATGGCAAACCGAGGCACTCTCCCACCAAAGTTCACCCGGGGTAACCAATGAACTTACTAGGCTTCCAGAGTGATGGGTGAAGGGTCATGGGCAGGCGACCTCAACACTGCCGCACTGGAAGGCCTGCACCTCATGGGGATGATGGCTTCCCCGTGGCTGCACAGATGAATCTTCTCCCCTCATCCTTGTCTGCCTATATCCTCTCGACCCTCCCCCAAAGCCATGTGCACTTAGGGCAGAATTGCACGCAATTGTTTGGGATGGGGGACCCTCCAGTGCGGTCCTCCTCCCTCTGCCTCTAGATAGCCAGAGGCTCAGCTGTGGTGATTTTGGGGGATCAGGGCCAGCTGAACTCCTGAGATGGTGGCAGTTTGGTTTGGATGATAGTCCTGCACAAGAAATACTTATTTAACAACTCAAAAGTAAGGGTGTGTGCAAATGTCTCGAATTAACAGAGCACAGGTTCAAGTGTCCAGAAATTTTAGAAAGCTTTGAACTTCTTTGTCACAAATGTGGTATTTCTAAATAAGTTTCTTTCAGATAATTAGGGAAAGAAGTACATCCTCGTTAGTCGTAGAGATAAACAATGTGTAATCCCAGTCTGTTCCTCACGTGGCATTGTGACATTGTTAGCCTCTATGACAGGAGCTTCATGTGCACAGAAACTAAGCAAATGCTAGTTTGTTCCCATGATCAAGTTCTGTGGTCATTTTCACTTTTCTTGCTAATAGAAAAGATAAAACCACAGAGGCACTAAAAAATTCTCAGTGATTGACAGGGGATGGCGGGTGGGAGATAGACCATCTGAGCATGAGGAGTCTTGTGGCAGTGAACACGTTCTGTGTGAGGAAGGATGTGTCTCACTGGTCAAAATCCATAGAATGCAGTGGCTGGTGAACGGCTCAGCAGGTGAAGCGCCCGCCACACAAGCATGAGAGTGACAGTCAGGTCCCCGGAACCCACATAAAAAAGCAGATGTAGTGGTGCACTGGGGGGAGGGGACAGGTGGATCCCTGAGCCTCTCTACTGGCCAACCTAACCTGCTGAGTGAGTTCCAGGCCAGTGAAAGACCTGTCTCTACAAACAAAGTGGGTGGTCCCTTAGAAATTACATCCAAGGTTGACTCCTGGTCTCCAATCATGTACACAAATGCACACACTTACACACATATGCCTACACACACACACACACACACACACACACACACACACAATCTCATGAACATACTCTATCCAAAATGAACCTTGATGTGGATATAGACTCTGAGGGGTCACCCCACTGTGATGAACAGTCCTCTCTGTGGGGAGCATTGATTCTGGGGAGCCTGGTGGGTAGGGACAGATAATATGGAAAAAGCTTCAGCTCTGACTAGCTCTGTTCTGAGAGAAGACTAGTTCTTTCAACTCTAAGAATTATGATTATTGTAGAAATTAACACCTCTACCTAAAGGCATTTCAGCCTATATTTGTACTGTTCTATAGGACATGAATGCAAACAGCAGCTAGGACAGATGAGATGGATTTTCCTCACGTCTTTCTCAGCAGAGCATTTCCAGAAACTTCTTTCTTAGCACTAAATACCTTGTGGTGCTGTAGAATCCGAGTCTGCTTTCCTTCAAACTTAATCTATATACTGGGGCATCTATCTTGTCACTTTCTACATGGAAGGATTTTCCCCTCTCTTCACTTGATGCATGCAGCCTTTCTGTCCTTTTCCCTCACTGTTTCCAGACCACAGACACCTACACTCCTAAAAGAGAGTGAAGCAGAGGAAATTACTATTAATTGACTACTAATAATTAATAAATAATCGATTATTAATAATTAATAAACCCAGTGAGGGGTTATTTGTTGAATGAATGAATGAATGAATGAATGAATGAATGAATGAATGAAAAATCACACGACTTCTCATCCGTTGAATCTAGCCTCTACCCTCAGCAACTCTCTCACATTAATGAAATGAGTAAACATGAGGATTGTGTCTTCTCAATGCCCCAAGACCATCCTTGCTTGTAGACATGCCACTCAAGTCCCTGACTCTGGTCATGTGGCTTTCCCTCTGCGTCTTTGTCCTGATTTCATCTTTGCCAAAAAAAAAAAAAAAAAAAGAGAGAGAGAGAGAGAGAGAGACTCCAGTCATATGATATTGTGACTCACCTTAATCACCTCATCTTGGGGGCTGGATAGATGGCTCAGTGGTTAAGAGTCCTGGCTGTTCTTCTGGAGGTCCTGAGTTCAATTCCCAGCAACCACCATGGTGGCTCACGACTATCTCTAGTGGGATCTAATGCCCTTTTTTGACATAAAGTCAATAGAGCACTCATAGACATTAAATAAATAATAAAATAAATAAATAAATCTTTTTTTTTAAAAAAAAATCTCCTCCTCTTGACCTGTCGACCTCCGCTAAACTGTGTTTCCAGATGACGTTGCATCAGGAACAAGGACTTCTTCTGCAGGAGGACACAGCCCCAACCCCCAAACTCCAGCGGTGAATGTGCTTCCTTCCCAAACAATGTGGACAGCAGCAGTGTGTGTCACAGTGAAGGCAGGCAAACAGCCTCCCAGTCCTGGTTTCCACAGGCTTACCTTCTCAAAAGTGCTTCTTCCCAACAAGCTGACCACAAAACTTGAGAAGAAAGAGTCTCTGTGCCTTTAAAACGTTGCAGACCAAACTTAGCAGGATTTTCAAAAGATATGAGAAGATGAAAGACGGAGCGCATGATAATTATCTCTCATGATGCAGTTAGGCCTCCGTGGCCAGAGGCCCTCGGGCTAGCCTGTTATTATGCTACGCTTGAATTATTGTGTGTGAGGAATGCTGGCCCCGCTTCAGTTTGGGCGCTGTGGGATCTTGTGCTGCTGTGGAGGAAGGCTGATATCTGTGCTGTGGTGGGGGGTGCACAGGGGACCCACACATATTTAGCACGTGGGTTTTGAGTGGGGGTCAAGTGGAGAAAAGAGGATGGCAGAAGCCATGGCAGTTGAGGAAGAGTGAACACCATTATTAGGAAATGCTAGGAATTTAACATGAGGGAGAAGTGTTACTAACCACAGGATTTAGCAACTTGGAAGACAGAAAATGTTTGACAACTTTTATTTTGAAGGGAAAAATAAGGAAATGACAATTAACCGTGGGAAGTTAAAGGAGAAAGAAAAGAAAGACGGGGTCCCCATGTGTAGCCACAGGTCTGGGGGGACCTTCTGAATGAAGTGGTGTCTCTCAGAGTGAGATGTTATTGGGAGTTTCTTGACATGCTAACAACTGCAAGCTCTAGCCTCTGACCCACGAGGGTCCTGAGAACTCATGCTGTGGGTAGATGTGTTAATTAAATTATTAAGACTACCAGAGGGGTAAGGTTAAGGAGGCAGACAGGGTCGGCTTCATGAGCAGTCAGATAGGGAGGGTAGCCACAGTGCACATTGTATTTTATCATCAAGTGTGCTCCTGAAGGTGGGAGGAAGGCATGGGAGTGATCCACGGGTCTGTGAGGTTGGCCAGAGGCAGAGGACAACTCAGAGCCAAGTTTGGTTTGTTAAAAGTGAGTTTTGGGGCTCTCGGGAATCGAAGCTAACTGTGGGGATGTAAGATGGAGATGTTTCGGGGAGTCTGACCCAGAGGTCTGAAGTTCCGGACACTTGGCTGAACTCATCATCTCAAGCCCCATGTGTGGTGACAAGCAGTGAATGGCAGAATTCCCAAGAGCCGTGCGGGAAGACACTTGGCCGTGGAGACTTCCAGAGTTCAGAACCCCCAGAGATGTTACTTGGTTGTTTCCTGGGCTTTTCTAACAGAGAAAGCAAGCCACCCTACTTGCGAGGGCCCCACAGACTTTTATAGCAGCAGTGTTTCCTGTGTGGGCCCTCTTTCACCTGACTTTTTCCAAAGCAGAGACCCACGTTTTTCTTCACGATTACAGCTGTTCTTCTGGGTGTCATCAGTGAACAGAGGTTGTCCAAGACACAGCCAATGTTGAGTGAATGTTGCTAATGCAGCCAGGCTTACTGGGGGACAGGAAAGAGGAAGCTAGGGAAAATTATTCCGAGTCAACAACTCATGATTCTAACTCTTTTCACCCACAGCTAGCCACCATGGGAGAAGTAACTTCATATTTACATCTCTCCTTTGCCTTCTGCCCGTCTGGATTTCTTATAGTAGTAAACCACGACCTGTAACATTGCAATAGAAACGTCAAAGCCGAAAGGTTGAGAATCGTACTTCAACAGGTTGATGGTCTGCTAAGAGCCATCCAACAGGACAAAGAAAGCCCTTCAGGTGACTCATCCCACAGGACTCAATGAAAAAAACCCAGAGATTGATTAAAGACAGACCGCCATTAGCAAACCTACACAAAGGTGAGAAATGTTGAGTTTAATCACATCAGCAAGTGGCACACAGCCTCCTCCTGGGCTCCAGCATGGCTTGGGCTGCCTGCAAAGCTGAGGAGGCTTTGCCAGTCAAAGGCTGCTTTCTTGCCATGAGTTTCCGAGTCTTCCTGGACCAGGTATGGTTGGGAAGAAGTTTGCGACAGTGGGAAGCATAGAAGCTTGATGTGTGAACAAGGAGTAAAAAGACGTCTTTACTCAACCCGTGGATGAAGATGTCTGCCCATCCTCAGTGTCTGTCTTCTGGCCCAAGGTATAGATTTGCTTGGATTTGGAGCTAAAGGCCTCCAGTTTGAAAATGGCATAGTGAAGACACCATGTGAGGACATGAGACAGCCATGAGAATTTGCTCTCCCTGACCATGCATGGGTGGAAGCTAAAGTTTTGGACCGTGGAAAAGGGAGTGGGAGATCTAGTCTGTGTGGTGATTGTGATCCAGTTCATGGACAATACCCAGATGAACAGCTGCGATTGTGAAGAAAAACACGCTGTCTGCTTTGAAAAAAAAAGTCAGGCAAAAGAGATAACACACAAGAAGCAATAATGCTACGAAACTTGCAGGGTGCCTGCAAATAGGGTACTTTGCTTTCTGTGTTGAAAATGTCCAGAAAAATAACCACATACACACTGGTAAAGTGACTGTTCAGACAAAATCTAAATATTTTGGTCATCCTCTTAAATGTCTGTGTGTGGGGTTGTATACAGACATGAGGTCAGGGAGTAACTTTTGGAAACAGGGTCTCACCTTCTGCTTGCTGAGTCTTTCTTGTTTCTGCTGCTGGGGCGGTGTACTCCAGGGTAGCTGTCCTCAGGAACTTCCAGCTTCTCCTGTCTCCACTTCCCATCTCACCACAGAGGTGTTGGGATCACAGATGTGCACCACCACGTCCATCTTCCCACGTGAGTTCCCGGGACAAACTTAGGTAGTCATGGGGGGGGGGTACACGACACTAAGCACCAGTCACTGGTGGGGTGGGGGTGGGGGCAGTGGACACTAAGCACCTTTATCCATTAAAGCCATCTCTCCTGGTCCTCCCTGCCCTTCATTTTTGTAGTTTTCAAAAAGAAAGACAGTAAAACTTCTTTGATAGGGTGGACTGTCCTCTTTTCCTGTCTCCAGTCCTGCTCCACCTCCTCAGGGGTAACCATTGTGAGAACTTCATGTGTGTGTACTGGCCACCTCACATCCACAACTACGTATTAGTCCCTCTAAAGTGTGCGTGGATACTGTGTGTGGTACCATACCACATAACTCTGCATCTTGCTGCTTGAGGTCTAGTGGTACATATTTTTACATCGGTAGGGTTTGGTACACATCCGTCTGACCTTAGCCATCGTGGGCTCATTCTGCTTCACTGTATAGATGCACACCCAGCTTCCTCATTGTGGCTATCGCGTCCTCATTTTTAACTGTGTGGTATCGATGCAACATATTTTCAGGCCATTCATGGTGCTGCCATGAAGACCTCCTGCATCAATGTGCGTTTGTCTGGGATTGATGCCTGGAACCACATCTGGCACGGAACAATGACTGCTGAGCTCCCTGAAGTTATTTAGCCAATCTATAATTCCAACAAAATACATCAAGCCTTTTTTTTTTTCCCTAACAAAAGCAAAATTGGCCATTCACTTGGCTAAACTGTATGGTTGCCTGGCAATTTAGACAAGCGGTTTTGTGAATGATGGGTCTAGATGAGAGAAAACCTCACACAAAGCTTTGGTACTTGATGCTGATTGTATTACCACTGGCTAAGTGCTCAGACAACCCTCTCGGAGGCAGTTCCCGTGTCACGATGACCACTAGGGAAATGCCAAGTACCCCTCCTGGTTCCTGTGCGCTTTTGCCAAGGAAGTAAGAATGTGACGTGTCACTTGGAAGCAGAAGTTTCCCAAGCCAGGATGGGGCTCTCCGTGTCTGTGGCTTACCTTGGCCCGGTAATTTTTCTGAAAGAGGGCATCATGACGCAACTCTCAGTGAGTAGGTGACAGGGGCATGAGAGGCAGCCAACACCAGGATGGCATCAAGCTGGAATGAAATGCAAAATGATGCGGTTGGCATGCACTGAGGAGGTGTGGCCATTTGTTACAGCATCACAACCTTGCTTACCCTGACTCAGACACAGCTGCAAAATGAAGAGGCCAGAGGACAGCAGCAGCTATGGCGAAACTTGCTGTGAGTTAAGTCAGCAGCTGCGTGCACTGAGAAAACGTGTTTCCAAGACTGGGTTAGTGCTGTGTTAGTGCTGAATGAGTGATGAACTTTTTTTTAAACCATAAATCAAGAACCTCTGTGATTCCTTTTCTTAAGGACAACCATTGTTCACTGTAGTAAGTGGCT